GAGAACTGATGGACAGTGGACCAGCACCAGTCGATATGTAACCTGACACCACTGGAGGGAACTGATGGACCAGCACACCAGTCGGTATGTAACCTGACACCACTGGAGGTGAAAAACTGACAACGATGGACCACACCAGTCAGTATGTAACCTGACACCAGGGGAAGTGAATGATGGACCAGCACCAGTCGGAGTAACCTGACACCATGGAGGAGAACGATGGACAGTGGACCAGCACCAGTCGGTATGTAAGCTGACACCACATGGAGGAGAACGATGGAGACAGTGGACCAGCACCAGTCAGTATGTAACCTGACACCACTGGAGGAGAACTGATGGACAGTGGACCAGCACCAGTCAGTATGAACCTGACACCACTGGAGGAGAACTGGATGGCAGTGGAACCAGCACCAGTCAGTATGTAACCTGACACCACTGGAGTGTGAACTGATGGACAGCACAGTCAGGATGTAACCTAGACACCACTGGAGGAGAACTGATGGACCCAGCACCAGTCGGTAGTACCTGACACCACTGGAGGAACTGATGGACAGTGGACCAGCACCAGCAGTAGAGTAACCTGACACCACTGGAGGAGAACTGATGGACCAGCACCAGTCGGTATGTAACCTGACACCACTGGAGGAGAAACTGATGGACCAGCACCAGTCGGTATGTAACCTGACACACTGGAGGAGAAACTGATGGACAGTGGACCAGCACCAGTCGGTATGTAACCTGACACCACGGGAGGAGAACTGATGGACCAGCACCAGTCGGTATGTAACCTGACACCACTGGAGGAGAACATGATGGGACCAGCACCAGTCTTGTAAATTACCTGACACCACTGGAGGGAAACTGATGGACCCAGGCACCAGTCGGTATGTAACCTGACACCACTGGAGGAGAACTGATGGGACAGTGGACCCAGCACCAGTCAGTATGTAAACCTGACACCACTGGAGGTGAACTGATGGACAGTGGACCCAGCACCAGTCAGTATGTAACCTGACACCACTGGAGGTTGAAACTGATGGACCAGCACCAGTCGGTATGTAACTGACACCACTGGAGGTGAACTGATGGACCAGCACCAGTCGGTATGGTAACCTGACACCCCACTGGAGGAGAACTGATGGACAGTGGACCAAGCAACCAGTCGATATGTAACCTGACACCACTGGAGGTGAACTGATGGACCAGCACCAGTCGGTATGTAACCTGACACCACTGGAGGTGAACTGATGGACCAGCACCAGTCAGTATGTAACCTGACACCACTGGAGGTGAACTGATGGACCAGCACCAGTCGGTATGTAACCTGACACCACTGGAGGAGGAAACTGATGGACAGTGGACCAGCACCAGTCGGTATGTAACCTGACACCACTGGAGGAGAACTGATGGACAGTGGACCAGCACCAGTCAGTATGTAACCTGACACCACTGGAGGAGAACTGATGGACAGTGGACCAGCACCAGTCAGTATGTAACCTGACACCACTGGAGGAGAACTGATGGACAGTGGACCAGCACCAGTCAGTATGTAACCTGACACCACTGGAGGTGAAACTGATGGACCCAGCACCAGTCAGTATGTAACCTGACACCACTGGAGGAGAACTGATGGACCCAGCACCAGTCGGTATGTAACCTGACACCACTGGAGGAGAACTGATGGACAGTGGACCAGCACCAGTCAGTATGTAACCTGACACCACTGGAGGTGAACTGATGGACCAGCACCAGTCAGTATGTAACCTGACACCACTGGAGGAGAACTGATGGACCAGCACCAGTCAGTATGTAACCTGACACCACTGGAGGAGAACTGATGGACCAGCACCAGTCGGTATGTAACCTGACACCACTGGAGGAGAACTGATGGACAGTGGACCAGCACCAGTCGATATGTAACCTGACACCACTGGAGGAGAACTGATGGACCAGCACCAGTCGGTATGTAACCTGACACCACTGGAGGAGAACTGATGGACCAGCACCAGTCGGTATGTAACCTGACACCACTGGAGGAGAACTGATGGACAGTGGACCAGCACCAGTCGGTATGTAACCTGACACCACTGGAGGAGAACTGATGGACCAGCACCAGTCGGTATGTAACCTGACACCACTGGAGGAGAACTGATGGACCAGCACCAGTCAGTATGTAACCTGACACCACTGGAGGTGAACTGATGGACCAGCACCAGTCGGTATGTAACCTGACACCACTGGAGGAGAACTGATGGACAGTGGACCAGCACCAGTCAGTATGTAACCTGACACCACTGGAGGTGAACTGATGGACAGTGGACCAGCACCAGTCAGTATGTAACCTGACACCACTGGAGGTGAACTGATGGACCAGCACCAGTCGGTATGTAACCTGACACCACTGGAGGTGAACTGATGGACCAGCACCAGTCGGTATGTAACCTGACACCACTGGAGGAGAACTGATGGACAGTGGACCAGCACCAGTCGATATGTAACCTGACACCACTGGAGGTGAACTGATGGACCAGCACCAGTCGGTATGTAACCTGACACCACTGGAGGTGAACTGATGGACCAGCACCAGTCAGTATGTAACCTGACACCACTGGAGGTGAACTGATGGACCAGCACCAGTCGGTATGTAACCTGACACCACTGGAGGAGAACTGATGGACAGTGGACCAGCACCAGTCGGTATGTAACCTGACACCACTGGAGGAGAACTGATGGACAGTGGACCAGCACCAGTCAGTATGTAACCTGACACCACTGGAGGAGAACTGATGGACAGTGGACCAGCACCAGTCAGTATGTAACCTGACACCACTGGAGGAGAACTGATGGACAGTGGACCAGCACCAGTCAGTATGTAACCTGACACCACTGGAGGTGAACTGATGGACCAGCACCAGTCAGTATGTAACCTGACACCACTGGAGGAGAACTGATGGACCAGCACCAGTCGGTATGTAACCTGACACCACTGGAGGAGAACTGATGGACAGTGGACCAGCACCAGTCAGTATGTAACCTGACACCACTGGAGGTGAACTGATGGACCAGCACCAGTCAGTATGTAACCTGACACCACTGGAGGAGAACTGATGGACCAGCACCAGTCAGTATGTAACCTGACACCACTGGAGGAGAACTGATGGACCAGCACCAGTCGGTATGTAACCTGACACCACTGGAGGAGAACTGATGGACAGTGGACCAGTACCAGTCAGTATGTAACCTGACACCACTGGAGGAGAACTGATGGACAGTGGACCAGCACCAGTCAGTATGTAACCTGACACCACTGGAGGTGAACTGATGGACCAGCACCAGTCAGTATGTAACCTGACACCACTGGAGGAGAACTGATGGACCAGCACCAGTCGGTATGTAACCTGACACCACTGGAGGTGAACTGATGGACAGTGGACCAGCACCAGTCGGTATGTAACCTGACACCACTGGAGGTGAACTGATGGACCAGCACCAGTCGGTATGTAACCTGACACCACTGGAGGAGAACTGATGGACCAGCACCAGTCGGTGTGTAACCTGACACCACTGGAAGTCTTGATAATTATTTACAGCCTACAGTTTACATCAGGATGCACAACCTAATTCTGTAACGGGTTCTTTATCGTGTGCAGTTGGGTGGAGATATTCTGGGCCTCAGTGATGTGCGGGTTGATTCATAACCCGTAGTCATATCCGCAGAGAAGGTGGGTAAAGGGTCATGAAATATTGTGTGGATGAAGGGCAGGTGGGTGGCGGTCTGGTGGATGAAGGGCAGGTGGGTGGCGGTCTGGTGGATGAAGGGCAGGTGGGTGGCGGTCTGGTGGATGAAGGGCAGGTGGGTGGCGGTCTGGTTGAATAATGTGTACACTGCAAATTCACTACAACTAAGCCCAAAAAGAGATTAATATAATCATTTCATACCTTGATTATTAAAGATCACATCTCTATTTGTGGGGACTTGGGAAAAGATGCCCTGAATTAAACTAATTAGCTGAATTCCTGGTGATGGACAGTGTGGTCCTCTGTGGTCCTCTGTAGCTCAGCTGGTAGAGCACGGCGCTTGTAACGCCAAGGTAGTGGGTTCGATCCCCGGGACCACCCATACACAAAAATGTATGCACGCACGACTGTAAGTCGCTTTGGATAAAAGCGTCTGCTAAATGGCATATTATATTATTATTATATTATGTGATAGGGTCCAGGGGTTCCCAACCTTTATTGGCCTGTTACCCCATTTAGATTATGTATGTGCGACCCCATGTGAAAAAGGTGATGTAATCAACGGCCAATGTTTATTATTTTTAATGTTGGCTGTGACAGTACTTTTGAGACTATTTCAAGCTGAAGGAAGTGCTTTGAAGTGCATCAGAAAGGTATTGGGAAGTTCAATCATTTTGTATGATCTTCTGTGCAGAAGAGATCATGTTCCCCCCCCGTCCTGAGTTCTGCACAGCTTGATCCCTGTAGAGGCAACAAGACGAGTGTCCTGAGAGTGATCTTTCAGTGATGGGGGTCATAAACTCCCCTTTTCGGGACCCTGTCTTTCAAAGATCATTTGTAAAATGAACTAAGTGCAATTTTATTTCAGTTTCTCACAACCATTTTCAAATCAGGCAACCCCTCGTTTGAGAAACACTATTGGTCACTTAAAATGACGTTACACCAGCAGGTCACTGTTGACTAACAGAACCTACATAAACAGATTAGATGTCACCTAGAGGCTCTGGTAAGGAGTGCTTTAGAAACGCTGACATAATATGCACCTGTTTCACAGAAACGTAAAGGTGTCCGTTCTATTTTAGATACTAGTACTTAACTAACACCTGTCGTTTCACATAACCTTCCCCAAGTCATCTGAAATCAGTAGTGAAGATCAGAATATTGAAAGACAACTCAGGTCAGTTTTATATTCAATGATACTTTTATTGGCTAGTTCTTCCACCATGTCTCTGATCTCCAGACAGTCTGTAGTTGGGTGTCTAGATGGCGTGGATCTTCTTCCAGCGAGCCAGGGGGCCAGTCGAGGGGATGTACTTCACCCCACAGCCATCAGGAATCACACGCTTCTCAGCCATCATTTGATCAAAGTCCACCGCGTTGAACTTAGTGAAGCCGTACTTCTTAGACATGTGGATCTGGGAGAGGGATCAGAGGTCATCCAGAGGTCATCCAGAGGCAGCCATGTTTCTCAGTGTGTGAAGGAAATCTAGCCAGTTTTTTGTCTCAGCGGTCCCTTAAAGGGGCCAGCACCTCCCAGCTGGCCTCATACACAACCACAGAGTCACTGTCTGCAGCCATTGAACACCAGAACCGCACTGCAGCGAGACTGGTCGGCTTCATGAGCTGCAGGTGTTTCTAACAGCTCACAATGAGTGTTTAAGACTCTCAAAGCTCATCTTAATACATTCACACAATGATTAACACCAGTTATCCCAGTGTGTAGGTACTCATTAGAGTGTCTGCATTTCAAATGTATATTTTGTGTGCATGTTACCTTCTGGCGTCCGGGGAACTTGAACTTGGCTCTGCGGAGAGCCTCTATAATGTGCTCCTTGTTGCTGGCCTTGGTGCGGACAGACATGATCACCTGACCGATTCTAACACGAGCCACGGTGCCCAGGGGTTTACCGAACGCACCACGCATCCCTGTCTGGAGCCTAGAAACACACAGGTCAAACCATATTTAATTAGTATTACAGGCACAACACATTACTGACAATTAATAAATATTCTAAAGCCCTTTTCACATTAGTAGTCATAAGCCTGGGCCCAGAGGGCTCTCCAGTGGCCCGGGGGCCAGAGCGCTCTCCAGTGGCCCGGGGGCCAGAGCGCTCTCCAGTGGCCCGGGGGCCAGAGCGCTCTCCAGTGGCCCAGAGCGCTCTCCAGTGGCCCAGAGCGCTCTCCAGTGGCCCAGAGCGCTCTCCAGTGGCCCAGAGCGCTCTCCAGTGGCCCAGAGCGCTCTCCAGTGGCCCAGAGCGCTCTCCAGTGGCCCAGAGCGCTCTCCAGTGGCCCAGAGCGCTCTCCAGTGGCCCAGAGCGCTCTCCAGTGGCCCAGAGCGCTCTCCAGTGGCCCAGAGCGCTCTCCAGTGGCCCAGAGCGCTCTCCAGTGGCCCAGAGCGCTCTCCAGTGGCCCAGAGCGCTCTCCAGTGGCCCGGGGGCCAGAGCGCTCTCCAGTGGCCAGAGCGCTCTCCAGTGGCCAGAGCGCTCCAGTGGCCCGGGGGCCCAGAGTGCTCTCCAGTGGCCGGGGCAGAGACCAGAGCCAGGGAAACTATAGCAGGAAGAAACGTGGAGAGGAACCAGACTGAGGGTCATTTTTAATACATTCTGGATTTACAGTAAATACCTCCAAGGTCATGTTCACCAACACACAGCATCAGTGCCTTTGACCAGAGACCGTCTGGGCTGGGCATTGGCATGTTGTAGCACCAGCCTGCCCGTAACAGCTGACCGAGGCAGAGCAGTATCCAGCCAGCCTGCCCGTAACAGCTGACCGAGGCAGAGCAGTATCCAGCCAGCCTGCCCGTAACAGCTGACCGAGGCAGAGCAGTATCCAGCCAGCCTGCCCGTAACAGCTGACCGAGGCAGAGCAGTATCTAGCCAGCCTGCCCGTAACAGCTGACCAAGGCAGAGCAGTATCCAGCCAGCCCGTAACAGCTGACCGAGGCAGAGCAGTATCCAGCCAGCCTGCCCGTAACAGCTGACCGAGGCAGAGCAGTATCCAGCCAGCCTGCCCGTAACAGCTGACCGAGGCAGAGCAGTATCCAGCCAGCCTGCCCGTAACAGCTGACCGAGGCAGAGCAGTATCCAGAGCCGCCCGTAACAGCTGACCGAGGCAGAGCAGTATCAGCCAGCCTGCCCGTAACAGCTGACCGAGGCAGAGCAGTAGTAGCCAGCCTGCCCGTAACAGCTGACCGAGGCAGAGCAGTATGTAGCCAGCCTGCCCGTAACAGCTGACTGAGGCAGAGCAGTATGTAGCCGCCTGCCCGTAACAGCTGACTGAGGCAGAGCAGTATGTAGCCAGCCTGCCCGTAACAGCTGACCGAGGCAGAGCAGTATCCAGCCAGCCTGCCCGTAACAGCTGACCGAGGCAGAGCAGTATGTAGCCAGCCTGCCCGTAACAGCTGACCGAGGCAGAGCAGTATGTAGCCAGCCTGCCCGTAACAGCTGACCGAGGCAGAGCAGTATGTAGCCAGCCTGCCCGTAACAGCTGACTGAGGCAGAGCAGTATGTAGCCCGCCTGCCCGTAACAGCTGACTGAGGCAGAGCAGTATGTAGCCCGCCTGCCCGTAACAGCTGACTGAGGCAGAGCAGTATGTAGCCCGCCTGCCCGTAACAGCTGACCGAGGCAGCAGTATCTAGCCCGCCGCCTGGCTTTAGTCTCACAGGTCTACAATCCCCAGCCCAGTCAGTCCAGGTCTCAGCGGTCCCTTAAAGGGGCCAGCACCTCCCAGCTGGCCTCATACACAACCACAGAGTCACTGTCTGCAGCCATTGAACACCAGAAACGCACTGCAGCGAGACTGGTTAGCTTCATGAGCTGCAGGTGTTTGTGTGAAAGAGTTTTAGATGAGCGCCTGAGGGTGTATGTGTCTCGTACCTATCAGCCCCAGCGCAGGACAACATCTTGTTGATACGGATGACATGGAAGGGGTGCAGGCGGACCCGGATGTGGAAGCCGTCCTTTCCACAAGTCTTCACCATGTATTTGTTGGCACAGATACGGGCTGCCTCCAGAGCTACAGGAGAGAGAGATTTAGAAAGTAGATGAATGTGAGATTAGATCTGACCTTTCCTTACAGAAAACAACATGAGTCTGATTATGTGCCTGACAGTGTGATTGCGTGCGTCTCCCCAAAGATGATGTCTGCCCTCACCTTCAGAGGACAGCTGCTCGTACTCGTCAGAGACCATGTGACCACACAGAGGGAACTCATCCACCCTGGCCTTCTTCCTTCCCAGGTCAAAGATCCTGATCTTAGGATCTACAGAGAAAGCAGAGTTTACAATACATACAGGGAACAGTTGACATGGGTCTGAATGGCATTTCTTTAAGATACCAAGCAGACATAAAACAGCCAATTAGCTACTCCCTCTGTAGTTCAGTATAAACAGGTCACATTTTGTCTCAGCGGTCCCTTAAAGGGGCCAGCACCTCCCAGCTGGCCTCATACACAACCACAGAGTCACTGTCTGCAGCCATTGAACACCAGAACCGCACTGCAGCGAGACTGGTCAGCTTCATGAGCTGCAGTTAAGAACACAGTTATGAGCGTGCTGAGTAGCCGGACAAAACAAGTATTGTAACATATGGGCAATATTTTTTGTAATTATCCTTGACCATAGAAAAGGTTATTGTCGGGAGCCAGCAAGCATCTTTCTCATGTCAGTCAGTAACAGTGTCTAAACCATACTGTACGGTCTTCCAGTCAGTCATATGCGTTGTATAAATAACTCAACTGGCTAGTTTGCCTGTCTGTAAAGAGAAGGGCGGGCTGTACGTTGATCCTGCTGCTCTGATTGGCTAGAGTGATGCTGTATTTCTCCATCCATTCACTTCATATCACTTTTCCTGGCACGTTTTCAGTCTGATCATTTAGATTGCTGCTGCCTGCTACTATGATAAATCACACGGCGAGGACGTTTAATGCTCCTGCTACTATGATAAATCACATGGTGAGGACGTTTAATGCTCCTGCTACTATGATAAATCACATGGTGAGGACGTTTAATGCTCCTGCTACTATGATAAATCACACGGCGAGGACGTTTGTTATCAAGTTTTCAATGTGTAAAATATCTAACAAGCAGGGCAGAAAAAAAGAAACCCATTCTGCCTCGTCTGCCCGCTGCAAGTTGACAGGTCATACGTCCCTCTGCAGCTCCTAACCTGCCGCTTGTTTGGTCTAGAGATGGTTTGGGTTATTTTGCCAACATCTACTTAAGCATATTAAAATATTACATTTTTTCCCCCGATCACGAGTATCATCCGATCCAACCATCGGATCCGGTTAAGAGTATGGTCATGTCAGCACACCCCTCAGCTGTGCCCTGGACACCATAGTTCATACTGCTTGGTGACCTAAATTGGGATATGCTATAACCCTCACTGTTAACTTCCTGTTTGAGTGGGTACTGGGGAATAACCTAGGAGAGAGGGGTAAGTGAAATAATGGAAAAAGGGGTTACCAGGAACACCGCGACAGAAGCGGGACTTGGGGTAGGGCTTGTTCTTGCAGTAGCGATAGCTGAGGGAGAGACAGATGGTTTTGAGTCAAACAATTATCAGCTGCCTTTACATTCAACACAGGAAAATGCCAACAATATAATTTAAGAGTTATCAGAGGTCCCATGTCTCAACTGTGTGAAGGAAATCTAGCCAGTCGGTTGTCTCAACAGTCCCTTAAAAAAAAGGGCCAGCACCTCCCAGCTGGCCTCATACACAACCAGTCAATGTCTGCAGCCATTGAACACCAGAACCGCACTGCAGACATTGGTTGGCTAAATAAACTGCAGGTGATTAAATCAGTTCTAAGGATGTTTACAGACATTCACGCGTCTTTATACTGTAAGGTAAAAAAATAAATAAACGACTTGATATGTTGTGTAATGTGTACTCAATCACAGGCCTACGTATGATACTAACCTCCATAACTATGTTTATCCACCGACAAGCTTCAATGGCTAGTCAGTTATGCTACTTTATGCCATTAGCTGTTAACCTACTAGTTAGTAACATTATCTAAAATGCCACCTAGCTACATTCAACACCATGTTACCTAGCTGATTGACGGTGACTTCGTAGACCGTGTGGAACAGACCATCCAGTTACCTAGTTTTATGACAATACAAGCATACGTTCTGGCATGGAAAGTATTCGACAGCAAAACTGCAAATGTAGCTAGCGAACTTATTCATGCACATGGTGCGACATAACCGCCATTTTGTATTTTCATCCAGCGACAGACTTCAATGCCGAGTTAAAACCATGCGACAAAAAAACTCACCATCGGGCTGGCCGGCGACCCATAGCTGCGATCTGTAGAAATAACACAAAGAAACACTTATTACGAATGGAAACTAGGGTTCTACGCTGGAAAAACACTAGAATTTCTACAATGATTTGAAGAGCGGCAGACACCGTGATGTGAACACGCACTCACCGAAAGGCGGAAAGGAAGTTAGAGAGACTTCCGCCGCGTCATATGGGCGCTTCGGCTGGACAAATATGATAAAAACACTCCGATTTTATTTTTCATTTGGGTAAACACTTTTGGCGTCATACGTGAAATATGGTTAGTAATCGTGTATTTTAAATGTAATATGGTGGCTGTACATTTTCCTCCGCAACAACTAGCCTACCGTGGAGCATAATGGGAAAGGTAGTTTTACTGGGAACATAGCACAAACAACATGAACATTCAAGAGGACGATCAACCAGTTTTAGGATGAGATGAGGACGACGAAAGGAAGAATATGAGTGTCGGTAAAATTAGTTTGGGTTGATGACAGTGGTGTTATTTAATTTCATTTGAATTGCTATGTATTGGCCAGTGAGGGGCTTTGAAGCCACCAGATGGGCATATTGGTACTCCCCAGATAGAGCCGTCCTCTCCATAGGAATTAATGGAATTCTACAATATTTCAATTAAAGATGCACTATGCAAAAATCGCTCCGCCATTTCCTGGTTGCTAAAATTCCAATAGTTCGCCTAATTTCAGTTTATGTGATAAAACAAGCAAGTACAATGTAGAGAATCATTGTACCATCTAAACCACTGTCAAATATATTTTCTGTAACCAAAAATATATTTTCAGCTGTTTGAAGCTAGTGTACAAAACCGAAAGTAAAAGACACAAAAACGAAACTTAAGGGGAAGCATAGAAATAGTGCACATAGAACAGATCTACTGCTTCTTAGACTGGCTTTCAATGAGAATGACAGATCTATAACACGTTTCAAGTTTTAATGTCACATGCACAGTTAAATGCCTTTCTTGCAAAACTCAAAACCCAACAATGCAATAATCAATAACAATGGATTACTAGAAAAAACTAACATGAGAAATAAGAATAAGAAATACACAATAAAGTAAGTACAGTTGAAGACGGAAGTTTACATACACCTTAGCCAAATACATTTAAACTCAGTTTTTCACAATTCCTGACATTTAATCCTGGTAAAAATTCCCTGTCTTAGGTCAGTTAGTATCACCACTTTATTTTAAGAATGTGAAATGTCAGAATAATAGTAGAGAGAATGATTTATTTCAGCTTTTATTTCTTTCATCACATTCCCAGTGGGTCAGATGTTTACAAACACTCAATTAGTATTTGGTAGCATTGCCTTTAAATTGTTTAACTTGGGTCAAACGTTTCGGGTAGCCTTCCACAAGCTTCCCACAATAAGTTGGGTGAATTTTGGCCCATTCCTCCTGACAGAGCTGGTGTAACTGAGTCAGGTTTGTAGGCCTCCTTGCCCGCACACGCCTTTTCAGTTCTGCCCACACATTTACTCTAGGATTGAGGTCAGGGCTTTGTGATGGCCACTCCAATACCTTGACTTTGTTGTCCTTAAGCCATTTTTCCACAACTTTGGAAGTATGCTTGGGATCATTGTCCATTTGGAAGACCCATTTGCAACCAAGTTTTAACTTTCCTGACTGATGTCTTGAGATGTTGCTTCAATATATCCACATAATGTTCCTTCCTCATGATGCCATCTATTTTGTGAAGTGCACCAGTCCCTCCTGCAGCAAAGCACCCCCACAGCATGATGCTGCCACCCCCGTGCTTCACGGTTGGGATGGTGTTCTTCGGCTTGCAAGCACCCCCCTTTTTGAACATAACGATAGTCATTATGGCCAAACAGTTCTATTTTTGTTTCATCAGACCAGAGGACATTTCTCCAAAAATTACGATATTTGTCCCCATGTGCAGTTGCAAACTGTAGTCTGGCTTTCTTTATGGCGGTTTTTCGGAACAGTGGCTTCTTCCTTGCTGAGCGGCCTTTCAGGTTATGTCGATATAGGACTCGTTTTACAGTGGATATATATACACCTTTGTACCTGTTTCCTCCAGCATCTTCACAAGGTCCTTGCTGTTGTTCTGGGATTGATTTGCACTTTTCGCACCAAAGTACGTTCATCTCTAGGAGACAGAACGCGTCTCCTTCCTGAGCGGTATGACGGCTGCGTGGTCCCATGGTGTTTATACTTGCGTACTATTGTTTGTACAGATGAATGTGGTACCTTCAGGCATTTGGAAATTGCTCCCAAGGATGAACCAGAGCTGTGGAGGTCTAAATGTTTTTTTCGGAGGTCTTGTCTGATTTCTTTAGATTTTCCCATGATGTCAAGCAAAGAGGCACTGAGTTTGAAGGTAGGCCTTGAAATACATCCACAGGTACACCTCCAATTGACTCAAATTATGTCAATTAGCCTATCAGAAGCTTCTAAAGCCATGACATCATTTTCTGGAATTTTCCAAGCTGTTTACAGGCACAGTCAACTTAGTGTATGTAAACTTCTGACCCACTGGAATTGTGATACAGTGAATTATAAGTGAAATAATCTGTCTGTAAACAATTGTTGGAAAAATTACTTGTGTCATGCACAAAGAAGATGTCCTAACCGACTTGCCAAAACTATATTTTGTTAACAAGAAATTTGTGGAGTGGTTGAAAAACAAGTTTTAATGACTCCAACCTAAGTGTATGTAAACTTCCGACTTCAACTGTAAGTAAGCATACTATATACAGTAAATATTTAAGAAGTCACTTCTAATACCATATTTACATGTGCAGGGATACTGGAGTGATGGAGGTAGATATGTATAGGGGTAAGGTAACTAGGCAACAGGATATGAGATAAACAGAGTAGCAGCAGCTTGTATGTGAGTGGGTGTGTAGAGTCAGTATAAATGTATGTACATATTATGTGTGAGTGATCAGATGATGAAGTGAGTGTGTGTGTTGGAGTGACAGTGTGTGTGTGTGTTGGAGGGACAGTGTGTGTGTGTGTGTTGGAGGGACAGTGTGTGTGTGTGTTGGAGTGACAGTGTGTGTGAGTGTGTAGGGACAGTGTGTGTGTGTGTTGGAGGGACAGTGTGTGTGTGTGTGTGTGTGTGTGTTGGAGGGACAGTGTGTGTGTGTGTTGGAGGGACAGTGTGTGTGTGTGTTGGAGGGACAGTGTGTGTGTGTGTGTGTGTTGGAGGGACAGTGTGTGTGTGTGTTGGAGGGACAGTGTGTGTGTGTGTTGGAGTGACAGTGTGTGTGTGTGTTGGAGGGACAGTGTGTGTGTGTGTTGGAGGGACAGTGTGTGTGTGTGTGTGTGTGTGTGTTGGAGGGACAGTGTGTGTGTTGGAGGGACAGTGTGTGTGTGTGTTGGAGTGACAGTGTGTGTGTGTGTTGGAGGGACAGTGTGTGTGTGTGTGTGTGTTGGAGTGACAGTGTGTGTGAGTGTGTAGGGCCCTGTGAGTGTGCATAGAGACAGTGTAAATACTTCAATAAAATGTCAATAAAGACACAAGGTGAACTCAGATAGTCCGTGTAGTTATTTTGTTAGCTATTTATCAGTCGTATTGCTTTGGGATAGAAGCTGTTCAAGAGCCTGTTGGTGTCGGACTTGGTGCTCCGGTACCTCTTGCCGTGCGGCAGCAGAGAAAATAGTCTATGGCTTGGGTGGTTGGAGTCTTTGAATATTTTCCAGGCCTTCTTTTCACAGCACCTGGTATAGAGGTCCTGGATGGCAGGGAGCTCAGCCCCGGTGAAGTACTGGGCTGTCCGCACCACCCTCTGTAGCACCATGCGATCCAGGGCGGTGCTGTTGCCATACCAACCAGTGGTGCAGCCAGTCAATATGCTCTCAGTGGTACAGCTGTAGAACCTTTTTATTTCTATGTGAATTTGGTCGCCCAAAAAGTGACATACTGCGGCTTTAAATGTTTAAAGGACAAAATTGCATGTATTTAAGTATATTTTTTTTGTAGTGGGTACAGTAACACGTGTCAAAATTAGACTTAAGGAACATGTTTTTAGATTTTTTTGTTTAGCTCACATAATATAATGTAAACGTATGCATTAAGGTGTCTGTAATAGAATAAACGTGGCAAAAACAAAACGTAGACATGAATAAATGCATTTCTTTAGCTTCCAAAATATGTTTTACAATGGTGTGGGAGTGCCACGATGGAGGCGTGGTGGCTTCAAAACAGCGCCCCCTGTCGGTCACCTAGTGTATATATAAATCATTGATGAAGACAGACCGCTGTATTGCGTTTCAGAAGCTGCCATTCTCACAGGGTGGCGACAAATGCACAGCATCCCTAAACGCAACAGGCTAGGTAAAATTAGGACTACTATGCTAAACTCTGATAATACTGATATCAACAACAATTGTATTTCGAGGGTATTATTTTATCAACACGCTTCTTAAAGTTGAAGATAAATAAAAGCCGATAAATTACCAAGGCAATGGACACAAACTAAATGTGTGACGTTATCATACAGAGTTTCTACGGGGGCAGTTAAGACACTGCCAGGTCCCTGTCAAGTCCGGATGTGTCCTACTATGGCCGGCAGGGGGGCGCCATTGCACCGAGAGAGCAGCTCCTGTATTGTCTCTCTCCAATGCTCCTCTCCCTGTAATGAGTAGTTCTTCAGTTTTTACCATGTTATTGGATTTAGGTTAAAAATTCCATTACGTTGATGACTTTTTGCCAAATCCAATCCGTTTTACCCGATGATTCAACGTCATCACATTGAATGTCTTTGTTGAAATGATGTGGAAACAATGTGTGTGTGTGTGTGTGTGTGTGTGTGCGCGTGCATGTCAAATCAAATACAATTTTATTTTATTTGTCATTTGCGCCGAATACAACAGGTATGGACTTTACAGTGAAATGCTTCCTGACGAGCCCTTAACCAACGACGCAGAGTGAAAAAGGAAGAAAACTTAGCTAAATAAAAAAGGAAACAGTAACACAATAAAATAACAATAATTAGACGATATACAAGGAGTACCAGTACTGAGTCAATGT